GAGAGAGTGAGAGAAGGAGCAGGGGAGGGGCGGAGGGAGAGAGAAACTCAAGCAGACTCCCTACTGGAGCCTGATATGGGGGCTCCATCCCACGACCCTGAGATCCTGACCTGAGCCAAAATCAAGAGTCAGACGCTCAACTGACTGCGCCACCCGGGTGCCCCCCTCAATAAAACGGTTTAAACAAAGACAAAGGAGCGGCCAATGAATACAGAGTATTCAACACCATCAGCTGTCAGGGAAACGCAAAGTGAAGCCACAGCGAGAGACCCTCGCACCACCAGAGAGGCTGCGGTCAACAGGGCAGACACTGACAAGTGCCATCAAGCGCGTGACAGAAGGAAAGCCTCATTCGCTCCTGGTGGCACGGCCACATGGGAAAGTGGGTAGTGGGGCCTGCAGCCACCACATGACCCAGCAATCCCACTCCTAGGTGTCCATGCGAGAGAAACAAGAGCCTGTGCTCCCAAAAATTCACACACAAACGCTCACATAGTCCCAAACTGGGGACAACCCAAACGTCCCCCCACTGACAAATGAACGAACACAGTGTGGTCTCCGCACACAGCGGAGCACCATTCGGCCAGGAGAGGAGCGCAGGCCTGGACCTTGATGGCAACGCGATGACCCTCAAAACCAGGTTAGAAGAAAGAAGGCGGACGGCAAAGGCTGCGTGTTGCGGGACTTCCACGCGTGAAACGTCCAGGAAAGACGAGTGTATGGGGATGGCGGGTAGATCACGACTGTCTGGCTGGGGGGCGCCACAGGTGGGACTGACCACAAAGGGAGCGGAGGAGTGTTTGGGGTGAAGGACGTGCTCTAGAACTGGATGCTGGGGACCACTGCACAACCCCGCTTGCGCGGTGAGCCGGATGACCCGGGGGCTGCACCTCCGTGAAGCTGGGCTTCTTAAAACAGGCACCCCGAGGCAGAGAGGAGAGAAGGGGTAGTTTCATATGCGGTTTGGGGGATGGGGCCCGCTCTATGGAGGAAACCTAAGTGGGGTCCGACTTCACACCACAGCCAACTCAACAACAGCTAACACTTGCCCAAGGCCTGCTCCAAAGGCGGCAAAGGAAGTCTTACTTGCCACCATCCCCCTGTGGCGGGGGCGCCCATCAGCCTAATTTTAACGACCAAGAAGCGGAGGCCCTGAGGGGTGAGATAGTGAGTGCGTGGTGGGCCGCATGCGGTGGCGATGGGGCTGGGCTAGGGTCTGAACCCCTGCCCCAGGGCCTCCTCTCAGGCCCACCGCACTGACAAGGACGGGGCAGGTCCAGGAACAGGACCACAGGGTGAACATGGACGGACTCTGCCCCACAAACACAGGAAGGATTTCAGCCGAAGGAAGGACACCACAGGCAAAGCCAATAGGTGATGGAAACTCGGCCTGTGACCTTGAAGCCAAAGGGTGATGCCCGGAGGACATGAGAGCTTGTGAGAGGCAGGCTGAGGTAGGGGGCAGGAGGGTGTGGAGGGGCGGACCTCCAGGAGCCCCGCTGGCAAGCAGAGCAGCTGATGCAGGGGGCCGGGGGACGGGGGAGCAGGGAGGCCGCAGCGGCCCCAGCACAGAGAGCGCTGGGCTGCCGTGGGGGTGGTGGGCGGACTCCCGCTTTCAACAGGGGGGCAGCCATGGACTGACACCTTGCACACACGGGCATCTCGCAGCTGTGGACGCCGGCAGCCGGCAGCGTCTGGTGGAGCCGGAGCGCACCGAGTGCCCGCAGCACACATCGAGGGCCACGGGGGTGCTCAAGCGGGATGGGGACAGTGCAGGGCAGGAGCCCGGGCCACCGCCACACACGCGCCTCAACAGGGAGAAATGGGTGCCGGGAAAGAGAAGGGGTCAGACAGGAATCGCCAGGGGCTATGAAAACTAGCGGGTGAGCACGGGGGCCTCCGGAGTCTCCAAGTGTCTCCCTCAAACACGCATTAGCCACAGAGGGGACAGCAGAGGCACCTCGGCAGACACCCGAGGAGGACGGCCCCTGCTGGGACGGTGGTGTCCAGGTGCCAGGGCCCCCGAGGTGGCGGGCATCCCACGGAAGGACGGCCGTCCTTGCCCGCGGGTCCTGAGCGGCCGAGGGACAGAGGGGATGCTCCTGAGGGAAGGAGAGGAGACGGGCCGGGGGCCGGGGGGCCGGAGGCTGACCTTGGAGAGGCAGGTCCCGCAGTAGCCATGTGGCCCTCGAAGAGGGAAAGGAGCAGAGACTCACTCCCAGCCTAAATTATTCACAAGAAAAGGGAGCGCGCCTCTTTAACAAGTCAGGGCTTTATGAAGCAAGGTTAACAATTTCACTTGATTCAGTGGAATATTATAAACTCTCTGGGGCCCGTTTGAGGACTTGTGCATCAGGCACAAGGCGATGACTCAGCACTTTTTATATTATTTAGAGAATAAAATTAACCCTCGCCGGCCCAGGCTGCCACCCCCCCACCCCCGCTGGATCTGGCCTGCTCAGCGCTTTCCCCCATATATAATTACAAGCCGCTATCCATCATGCGGCAGGCACGCAGCCCCAACACGCCGAAAGGGACGCAGTAAGCACTTCCACTAATAGAAGCAGAACTCAAATATCACTTTGATATTTTCATTTACATTGGAATATCTTACAATAATCACGCACAGCCTCCGTGGGGGGTCCCGCTCCTGCCACCCCCCC